TGCTGAAAATGCATGCCTAGGTGCTAAGGGAGGAGAACATAGGGGAATCTTGTGTGTGTGTGTGTGTGTGGTGTGGGGTCTTTTTAAAAATAAGCACAGCAGGAGAATCCTGTTTTGCCCAGTTTATGATTCAGATGGTTATTTCAAGTTAAGGGCAAATATTAAGGTGTTGTTTTGAAACAAAGACACAGAGCACTACTTAATAAAGGACTTTTGGTGCCTGGTGAAAAATTCAAGCTGCAGGGGCATTTCCTGCTCTGTATTTATTAATTTCAGGTATTCATTTATGCACTCCTCTCTCCCTCCTTCTGCTTATATAAAATACAGCAGAAATGAATGTGAAAAGTGTGAGAAAGAGAAAAACAAGAGTGGGATAGAAAAATGGAGCTAAGAAGGAAGTTAATCCAATAGCTCGACCATAGCAATTGGGGTTGCACACTGGTTGACCTGCTAAACCAACAGTTAACTCTTTTTTTTTTTAATTTTTTTTTTTTTCGGTATGCGGGCCTCTCACTGTTGTGGCCTCTCCCGTTGCGGAGCACAGGCTCCGGACGCGCAGGCTCAGCGGCCATGGCTCACGGGCCCAGCTGCTCCGCAGCATGTGGGATCTTCCTGGACCGGGGCACGAACCCATGTCCCCTGCATCGGCAGGCGGACCCTCAACCACTGCGTCACCAGGGAAGCCCTTTTTTTTTTTAATTTTTAAAAAAATTTATTTATTTTTATTTTTGGCTGTGTTGGGTCTTCGTTGCTGCGTGCAGGCTTTCTCTAGTTGCGGCAAGAGGGGGCTACTCTTCGTGGCGGTGCGCGGGCTTCTCATGGCAGTGGCTTCTCTTGTTGCGGAGCACGGGCTCTAGGTGTGTGGGCTTCAGCAGCTGTGGCACGCGGGCTTCAGTAGTTGTGGCTCGCGGGCTCTAGAGCGCAGGCTCAGTAGTTGTGGCGCACGGGCTTAGTTGCTCCGCGGCATGTGGGATCTTCCCGGACCAGGGCTCGAACCCGTGTCCCCTGCACTGGCAGGAGGATTCTTAACCACTGCGCCACCAGGGAAGCCCCACCAACCGTTAACTCTTAAAGACTCGGTGTCAAAGGCAAAGACAGACCAACTGCTCAGGAGGGGGACAACTTGGTCTGGGCAGGGACTTGTCCTTCAGGCCCTGAAAGCGAATTCGGGTTAAGTGGCCCTGCCCAGTAAGTCCCCCTATAGCCAGTGCCAGCTCTGCCACATCATCAAACCTAGGACGCGGGAGGCGGGACAAGCCCCTGAATTCACTGGAACTGTCCAATTATGGGGTCTCCAGAGTTAGGGGGTCTGTCCTGTCAGCCAACCAGAACTTGTTGATCATAATCAGAGTGTGGCTTCTGTGAACAGGAACTAGGAAAGCACATCACTAGCCCTGGGGCGAAATGACCAGACCTGCCCTCACAGAGCCCATCCTGACCCAGCCCAGCAGACCCCACCCTGCAGACGGGGTTCCCCACCGGACCCGACACTGAACCTGGGAGAGCCTGCGCTGGCTAATACTGTTCTCCTCCCACTGTTCCATCAGTATCATACCATGCTTTCCCTCCGTAACAGCCCAACATTTACCACAAAGCCGAGCCCACTCCCTTTCCACAGCCTGCCAGGTCCCCGAGACAATCCGTGCCAGGGCCTCGGCACTTGCCCACCCTGGGGAAAGCAAAAGCAGCTTCTCTCCTCCAGAGCCTGAGGGTCCAGGGAGGTTTTGCCTTATTGTAGGGGAGACCGTTTTATCAAAGCATCTTTTGAGTTCCACACAAGAGATCTAAGATAGACTGAATACCGCAGCATACATCCTGTTCTTCATACCACACTCAATACCATGGTGCCCTATGTGACCAACAGAACTTTCTGCCATGAGGAAAATGTTCTAGATCACCGCGTCCAATATGCGAGCCACTAGCCACAGCTGGCTACTGGGCAGCTGAACTGTGACTAGTCCACGTAGAGATGTGCTGAAGCATAAAGTCTTCCACTGGTTTTGGAAGACTTGGTGCAAAGAACAGAATGTCAGATATCTCATTAATAATTCTTTACACTGATTACATGTTGAAATGACAATATTTTAGATATACTGAATTAAATAAATTGTATTATTATATTAATTTCCCGTTTCTTTTTGCTTTTTCAATGCAGTTATTAGAAAATTTAGGAGTACATATGTGACTAGCATTCTGTTGGTATTAGCCAGCACCAACCTATACCATTATTTAGTAGTTTTCTTTAAACTGAATTTTTTTCATTTTTTTAATCATTCTGAAAATATTCGTGAAATTACAGTTTGAAAATATTCATGAAATTACAGTTTGATGTATTAGTTGTATTTTTACAACACAATTAAAGAATCCACAGGACCATTAATCTAAAATTGAGAAGATAAGTTTGTCCACGTGTAACCTAAACCCTCTTAGGTACCACACCCTTTGGGAAATGCTGGCCCAGGACAGAGCTACTCAGAGTGTGGCCTGTGGACAGATGCCAGCCTCCTTATTGTTCATTATCGTCCACAATAAGGACATAAATTGAGAGCACGTATTTAGAAACATTCATAGCAATTTGACAAAGTAATGTGATACCCATTGATATCTTGGAATCTGATATCTAATCTGATATTTTAAAATTGGGACCTGTATTTTACATGTGCTTTATATTTTGTTTCTAGTAAGTCCTTTAAATTGTATTTAAGAGTTAGAGACACACTGGGCTAGAGTATAAGAGAATCTTCCGTGGGCCTTCCAGAGTGATAACCTAAGAGCCGCAGTCCTCAGTCACAGCCAATGCAGTGCTCTAAGACAGGAAAGCATACTAAGGAGATCTTCCAGACCCCAACATAAAGGCTGGCACAGAGGGGATGGGGGCTTAATTCCTGGCAAATAAGAAATTCTGTTAAATGAAACTTCTCTTCCTCTAAGCATTTTTGTTGATAAAACTTTTGCTGTAATTCTAAGAAATGAAGGTCCTCATCACCTCTGTAGAGAAAAACAACTGTATACTATAAAAAAAGGTACACAAAATCCTTATAAAATGTATATCGATAGTACTGAGCTAGAGCTTGAGAGGGGTACAGAAAATGCGGGAGGCATGACCCATGTGCAAAAGGAATTTGTTATAATCTATCTGGAATGGCACAGAGGCATGGAGATTAAAAATACTTAACTCTAGAGTCAAACACACTTACTGTGTGACCTTGACCAACTTATTGAACCTCTCTCTCTTTTTTTTTTTTTTTTTTTTGCCGTGCCACACAGCATGCAGGATCTTAGTTTCCTGACCAGGGATCAAACCTGGGCCCTGGCAGTGAAAGGGCTGAGTCAGGGAATTCCCTTACTTAACTTCTCTTAGTGTCAATGTACTTAGCTGTTACAGTAGAGAATCTCCGAAAAGGGAGATTCCTCCTCTCCTAGTAGGCACTTACCATGCCTCACCTCAAGAGGTGGAGTCTATTTCCCCGCCCCTTGAATCTGGGCTGGCTTTGTGACTTGCTTTGACCACCAAATGCAGCAGAAGGGACATTCTGGGACTTTCAAGTCTGGGCCATAAGAGAACTGGCAACCTGCACTTCCTGGCTCTTGAAGAACAGCTGCCACACTGTGAGGAAGGCCAGGACAGACTCCTTGTGTAATTTGAGACACCCGGACCATGAGAGGCCATCTTGAACATTTCAACCCCACTGAGCTCCCAGCTGACAGCACAGGCAGCAGGAGAACCACTCAACTGAGCCCAACCAACCCCCTGAATGGTGAGAAATAGTAAGTTTGGAGTGTTTCGCTACACAGGAATAGAAAATTACAAATCTCTAAAATGAGAATAAAAACAGTATAAAGGATGGCTATGAGGAATAAAGTAAATAACGTATGACAAGTGCTTATAACGGTGCTTGGGACATAAGTGCTCAACAATTAGCAGCTGTTACTATTTGAGGAGCTAAAATGAACACATGTGCAATATATGACTGCAGACTACTTGGGAGGTTCCATTCAGGTTCTCAGGGCCCTGCAGGCCCCGAGCAGAGGAATGCCCAGGAGGTGAAAAGACAAGGCTTTGCGGTGAACGCAAGTATTGGACCTGAAGAATGCAGCGTGCAGAACGATGGTTTTTAAATCCCTGATGCATGGAGAGCCACCCGAGAACTTCCGGGCAACCACAATATGTGCGCACATCAAGGGCTGAAGCCTAGAGGTCTCCATGGAGACAGTGTAGATGGGTGGCTGCCAGGACCTGGGGAGTGGATGACGGGTGAGGGGGAATGGGGAATGACAGCTAATGGTTATGGGGTTTCTCTGCGGGGTGACGAACATGTTCTAAAATTGACTGTGGTGATAGCTGTACAATTCTGTGAATATACTGACAACCACTGAATTGGGCATTTTAAATGGCAAGAGGAAAGCTACCGCTCCCCAAGAGAGAAGCAGACCGAGGCCTACATTGAGACAGAGCTCAGAGGCGGATGAAGGGGATCCCGAGGCCCAGCGTGCCCCGGAGCCTCAGGTGCCTAGCCGGCAGACTCCTCATTGGAAAGCGGTCACCTCAGACATGAGCCAGGCGGTGAGCAATCCCTCCTGGGCCACGGCGCCCCAAGGGCAGCCACCCTGGACCACTGCCTCTTCCTTCTTCTGGTGTAATTCGTTCAAAAGAGCCTAGAGGGCAGGGCCACGGAAAGTTTTCAAATTATCAGACTGCTGCCAGAGTCAGCTCTGCCTGCGAACCCTCCCTCCCCCACCCCCCGGAACTGGGCAATACCATCATAAGCATCATCAGACTACCTGCCCTGTGAGCACCTACTATGCTGAGCCATTATGAGTTCTACCTTGTTAAATCCTCCCAACAAAGCCCACTAGACTATTGACCAGCATCCCCCAGAAAACCACATCTCTCGTCTACCCAAAGCAACCCTGCAAATCCTACTGTGTTATAAGTCAATCAGTATAGCTACTACAGAAGGCAAGATGTTCTTTTAAAAAGTGAACCATGGCAGAAGATGGGGCATCTGAATGAGAGGAAAACATCCTTTAATTGTGGAGAGGGAGAAGGGATAGAGATAGAAATGACAAAATTTGACCAGTCGGGTCACTAGGGTCAGTACATCAGAAAAGAAACAGTTGATGGTCAGACTTTCAGGAATTTGCCCCGAAGGTCCTGCCAGGTCCGAGTCCTTCAGTGCCATAACTCCACAAAGCCAGAAGCCCCAGATCAAATACAACTTTCTTTCGCTCCTGACCTTGGCCCTTCTCACTGCCGAAGGGACTTGCAACGTTAGGACACACGCACAAGCTCAAGTTGCTCCTCTTGGTCCAAACAGCTCTACGATGACAGTGGTCAATAATGGTTTTAGGGACTTCCCTGGTGGTCCAGTGGTTAGGACGCCGCGCTTTCATTGCTGAGGGCCCGGGTTCAGTCCCTGGTCGGGGAACTAAGATCCCACAAGGCGTGCAGTGTGGCAAAAAAAAAAAAAAAAAGAATGGTTTTAAATGTAGCAACTTTGAGAAAGGATGAAGAACTCTGATTTCTTGGGGCCCTACTCTCAGCCTTTCCTTTTCCCTACTGTGGCCCCTGGGGGGAGGCTCTCCTGAACTTCCAGTCTGCACTCCTCCATTCTCCTGATCTAGGATGGGGGATGGAAGACAGGCAGATGGAAGGACAGCAGGGAACCTCGTCTCAACTCAAAGCAATTCCCTCCTTACCAGGGAACCATGGGCAAATGGACTGAACTCAGTAAACAGTATTTACCTGCAGAAAGCACTGGAAAGTTCAACAAGCCTTAGGAAACATGCTTTGTAATTCCACTATCTCAAGCTCCTCCACCGACACACTTCTTTAATCCAACTCACGAGTATTTCCTCAACCCAGTGGAGCTGCTCCCAGCATAATGCAATTGTCAAACATCAGTTACACACCTGTTGCGTGAAAAAACTGTGAGGAGGGGGCTTCCCTGGTGGCGCAGTGGTCGAGAGTCCGCCTGCCGATGCAGGGGACACGGGTTCGTGCCCCGGTCCGGGAAGATCCCACATGCCGCGGAGCGGCTGGGCCCGTGAGCCATGGCCGCTGAGCCTGCGCGTCCGGAGCCTGTGCTCCACAGCGGGAGAGGCCACAACAGTGAGAGGCCCGCGTACCGCAAAAACAAAGACAAAAACCTCTGAGGGGGAGTAGGATGACCATCCAGTCACCCTCTGCACCAGGCCTCGCCCTCAAGCCAATCATCTAACAGAAGGGACAATGGCTAACCAGCTTCAGCATTTACTGTGTGTCAAGCACTGCTTTACAGATATCAATTCCTTCATCTTCAAGGCAGTGTTTCTATCCCCCCCCCCACGGTGTTCTTAAGCCCATTTTAAAGGTGAGAAAACTAAAGCTCAGCAGTGTCTCCCTGAGGTGAGACATCAGGAAGGGGAGAGGCGGCATTCACACCCAGGCAGTCTGGATCTCGATCGCCCGAGCTCCAATGACAGCAGGAGCCACCAGCACAGGGCCCTGCTCACAGTGGGCACCCAATGAACACCTGCCGAGAGGAACTGGAAGGTTAATGTCGTCACACGTGCAGAAGAAGAAGAGTGCTTTCCTGCAGGTGCTGCAGGCACAGGCAAGACGAGTTCCTTAATTCAGACTGAGAGAAGCCTAGAGGAAGTGAACGCCCGAAGGGAAAAGGGGAGAAGGGGGCATTTCAGACTGAGCGGTGCCCACGACCTGTGTAACAGCGAGGCAGCCTGACAACGGTGACCTGGTGACTCTGCTGGCCCTCTAGAGGTATTGAGGCAGAACCAAGCAACAGGCGCTTGCTCCGCATTCCTGATACTGTGATATAACACAAGCACTAAAGAGAACAGCACATCTGGTAATTTCTCTTCTGGGAGTAACTGAAAGGAAAGAAAGCAAGCATCACTGGTGGGTAATGGGGAAAAAATGCACAGAATTTCAGTATTGGAAGAACCTGTTGCTAGAAGAAACAACCAGAGAGGTATTCCCCTGCGACCTTCTACAACAGCTCCCAGGAAAACCACTTGCCGGCCCATATCGCCCAGCTGTGCTGCCGTGAAATTGTCCGAGAGCCTAAACACCTCAGGCCTCTTAGTCTTTTCTGCCCCTCACAGCACTCAGCACAAGCTTAGGATCAATGGTTGACTCTCAAGAAATGCAGGTTCACTCTCATCAAGAATGGGTCCCAAATGATAAGGCCTTGGGCAGCCAAGAGTAATCAGTACCAAGATGTATTATAATAAAACCTCAAAGGGCTTCCCTGGTGGCGCAGAGGTTAAGAATCCGCCTGCCAAGGCAGGGGACACAGGCTTGAGCCCTGGTCCAGGAAGATCCCACATGCTGCGGAGCAGCTGCGCCCGTGCGCCACAACTACTGAGCCTGCGCTCTAGAGCCCACGAGCCACAACCACTGAAGCCTGTGCGCCTAGAGCCCGTGCTCTGCAACAAGAGAAGCCACTGCAATGGGAAGCCCGAGCACCTCAACAAAGAGTAGCCCCCGCTCGCCGCAACTAGAGAAAGCCCGCACGCAGCAATGAAGACCCAACGCGGACAAAAGTAAGTAAGTAAATAAATATTAAAAAAACACAAAAAACTCAAAAATCAAGACTTCTCTGAGGATGACATTATTTTTCTAAGTACCTAGCCTCACAAAACCCACTTGAAAGAACAAACCATGGTACTACCTGGCACCTAAATTGAACACTCCAATTATTCCACATCAACCCTTATGCACATAGAAGTTTATGAAATATATATATATATGTGTGTATATATGTGTGTGTGTGTGTGTGTGTGTGTGTGTGTGTGTGTGTGTGTGTATATATATATATATATATATATATATACACATTTTGGCCGCATCGCGCGGCTTGTGGAATCTTAGTTCCCAGACCAGGGAATGAACCCATGCCCCCTACGGTGGAAGCTCGGAGTCTTAACCACTGGACCACCAGGGAACTCCCTGAAATATTTTAAACCTTCACACAACATGTCTTTCCATATTTCTAATTTCAAATGAAGGAAAAGAGCTTTAAGCTATTTTTCTACAATAAAGTTTCCAACTAGAACTTAATAAGGATGTCCCCTTATTGAGTGCCTTCAAATAAATTAAAATATCACAGATATTTCAGGCTCAACCATACAGCTCCGCCCTGCCTCTAAAACATCGAAACGACCTAATTGTTTAAACTCGACCAAATAAAAATGTGAACTTTAACAACCTCCCTTTTCCAATGTTATATTCTACTAGGTCCCCCTCCCCCAAGGCTGGTTCTGATGGATGGGTGGGTTTTGGGTTTCTCCCTAGCACATGCAGCCGAGTTTCCCAAACAAAAAGGACGAAAACAGAAGTACATCTTTTTAGTATTTATATCACTATCCTGTGATATTTGTTAAATTCTGCCTTCAAAACAAATGCGTGATGAAAAACGCAAACTGGGAAAGATTTAAGCCACCTCCTCCTTCTCGAAATGATGCAAATGAAGGCCCAATCAGAACATACCCCTCCCCCATGAAAACCATGTTTTAAGTGACTAAAGAACATTGCCCTTGATTTCCTTCCCTTCCTTGGTACACCTTACATAAAACACGCAGATCTTCACTATGTGATAATTCTCCAAATCCTATACTTAAGATCTGTGCGCTTTTGTGGGATGCACGTTATACTGCGGTAAAACACGCCTTAAAAATACCTCACACTAACTTAAAAAAAAAAGGTGTTGCCAGGAAAAACATGAAATCGGTTTCCAAGTTGCTTACACACCCGCACTACCTGCAACCACTTTACAGAACGTTAGAAGATGCGAAACCAGCTTATCTAAAATTCTGCCAAATGTCCTCAAAATCTCTCCCTGCTTCGCTCGTTTCCAGGCAGCCAATCCGGGGACCATCCCTCCTTAGCTCCCAGCAGCTGCAGCCTCTGGGGCCGGGGGACTCATCCGTCGCGCTGCCACGCGAGGGAGCCGCGACCCCGCCAGACCCCTGGGCAGCGCACCCGCGGCCGCCGGGAGCGCAAGCGGGCGGCAGGGGAACCCGGCCCGGGGCTCGCAGCTGGCCACCCCTGCCAGTGGGTGACGCGTCGGTTCTGCCCCCCGGGGACGCCGCGAAGCATGAAGCTGGGCTGCCCCTCGCGCGCGACGCCCGAGACGCAGATTGGGCAGGCGCGCAGGCCCCGGCCACCCCCCGCGCCCGCTCGGTCGGCCCCAGTGCCCCCCACGCCTGCTGCTCCGCGATGCGGGGCCAGCCCCCCGGGCCCCTGGGGCATCAAGCGTGGCCCCGGTCCCCGCACGCCAAACATACCTGCCACCCACCCTAAGCCACCCCCAATCCCACCCACTCTGGCCACTCGAGAGCGTACTCTGCCACCGGCACCGTGAGGGGCGCCGGCCCCGGGGTCCCGCGCCCAGGCGACCCCGGGCTGAGGAAAGGACATTAGCTCAGTTCCCCGCCCCGCCCCCCACAGCCTCGCGCTCCACAACCTCTACCTCTTGCGGCCCGCCCGGGGGGCCTGAGGCTCCCACGCGCCCGCCGCATCCCGGGAGCCCTACCTGAAGGCCGGTGGTTGGGCGGCGAGGTCCGCACCGCGCCCGGTTCGGCCATCTTCCCGGGAAGCGGGGGGGCCCGCGTAGACCCCTCCGTCCCGGCTGCCGCCCCGCAGTCGACGCCGTGCTCCATCGGGATGCCGGGGCCGCACAGGCGCACTGCCCCTGCCGCCGCGCCGTATCGGACCTGCGCGCGTCCGTACGCGCACGCGTCCCCCCCACGGCGTGCACGTGCGATGTGCGCACCGGTTCTCAGGCCGCGCACGAGCACCGCGTGCACACGCGAGCTGCACACGGGTCCTCAAGCAGCAGGCGCCTACCTCCTGCACTTGGCAATACGCACACCAGCCCTCACACAGCACGAGTACACGGCGTGCACGTGCAGTGTGAGCACTAGTTCTCATAGCGCTCCCACACACCGCGTGCACGTTCGATGTGCACACCAGTCCTCACAGCGCGCACGCACACACGGCATGCACACGGTTCCTCATACAGTGCGCACACACAGCATGCACACAACCAGTGTAAACACACGTCCCCACACAGTGCATACACTCAGCATTATATATACATGGGATGTAGTTTCTCACACAGGGTGCACACACATCCTCACGCAGTGTGAACACAGCGCGCACACACCATGTGTACACACCTGCCCACCCAGCACGCACATGTTCTCACACGGCTCGCAGAAGTTCACACACACTAGGCATCCACATACGTAGAGCTGCAGCTCTGGAAACAGGTCCTCTTAGGGCCTCGGGCAGGCGCCGCTTGGGCCAGTGCCACATGTGCAGATGCCTCCCTCCAAGCACAAAGGTGCACGGGTGGCAGGCGCTAGGTCTTCCCTCACCGCAGCGAGGGGCTCCAGGAAGCCAGACTGGTGGACCTTCAAAGAAGAGGAGGGGCACGCAGTCAGCCTTCCAACCATGCCCCCACTCCCAGGCTGATTGCACCCGAGCGCTACTCAATGGCTTCTTCCTGGTGTGCAAATAATGCACTAGAGAAATCTCTGTGAGAACATCTCTGGGAAGACAAATGAGAGTGCACTGAACGTGTAGCCTTGGGAGTAGGCGTCTGGACAGGGTGTGGGGGCCTGTGGAGGTGTGTTTCCCCTGGATGTCCTTTTACCCCTGCCAGAGCACTTAACTTCTTTTCAAAAATATACATATTGAAAAAGACATCTTCGCAGAGCCAGCTCAAGCCTCCAGGTGTTTACCCAGATATAGCCTGCCGAGTGATAACCCACCCCAGGGGAGCCCCAGGCTGCACGTTTCTCTGGTGGGCAGTGACCAGCCCCCGGGTTTTAACTTCCACCCCTGGGGGAGAAAGAAATGCAAGGTTAAAAAGCCGAATAGAGCTGAATCAGGGTACAAGGTTTCTTTGGGGAGGGTGATGGTAACATTCTAGAATTACATTATAGGGATGGTTGACTCTATACTAAAAGCCACTGTACATTTTAAACGGGTGAACTTTATGGTGTGTAAATTATACAAAAAAAAAAAAACACACACAAGTTGAAACTCTCAGTAACTGACAACCAGATTCTTAGTGAAAAGCTTGGGAAGAGTCCCTTTGTTGGCACAAAAATGTGATGAACGTGTTCATGACACTCCCAAAGGTGTGCTAGGAGTAGGGCGCAGCTATGGTGAGAAAGCCAGAAGGGGAGTTTAGACACAAACAAGCAGAAAAGCGGGCAAGTTGGGGCTGGCCCCTTGTTTGTAATGAAAACTGCTTCCAACTCAATAAGATTGAGACAAGTTAATTAGGGCTTGGGAGCTGTTTTCACTTTTTCTTTTTTTCTTCTTTTGGTCTTACAGACCTTGGGTACGAGCTTATAACTCATCCACCTCCTGAGCTCAAGGCTTGCTGACTTGTCAGAATACCCCTGTCTAGTTTGATTCTATTTTTTTCTCTTTTGATTCTATTTTTTCTGTTTATTTTCTATTCCCACTTGCATTCCTCTCTTCAATCATATACACCTCCTGTTTAATATATTTTTGTAGTTCTACTTTCAAACATATAGTGAAGATATGCGTGGTTTAAATTTATATAAATGATAAGGCACACCAGCTATCATTCTGTTTTTCCTTGCTTGGAATTGTTTTCAACATCTATCCATTGCAACTGTATACAAATCTATCAGAAACAGATTAACTGGGACTTCGCCTTCCAATGCAGGGGCTGTGGCAGCTAAGATCCCACATGCCTGGAGGCCAAAAACCCAAAAAACATAAAACAGAATATTGTAACAAATTCAGTAAAGACTTTAAAAATGGTCCACATCAAAAAAAAGAGATTAAGCATTTATTCTGGTTTACTCTTCTGTAAATTACCTGTTCAATCCCTGTCTTTCTATTGGGCTACTTGTCTTTCTCTTGTTGATTTCCAGGTTTTTTGTATTCTAGATAATCCTTATGGGCTTAAATATTTCACGCTAGTCAACTAACGTTTTCTAAGATTAGCAAAACGTCAATTTTTATGCCAAAATCAATCCATTTAAAAAAGCTTCTTATATGGAAATAACCACAAACTTACAGAAAAGTTGCACAAATAAGAATTTACAAATAAGTCATATGCCCTTTACTCAAACTCACCTATCCCTGACATTTTGCCCCATTTATCATTTGTAATCCTAGCTGTGCCTCTTTTTTTTTTATCCTTGGTTCTTTTTCTAGCAAGCTGCATACATATACACGGCCTTCCCCTTAAATACTTCAGTGCGTATTTCCTAAGGATATTGTCTTTTTATTTTTGGCTGTGTTGGGTCTTCGTTGCTTTGCGCGGGCTTTCTCCAGTTGCGGCGAGCGGGGGCTACTCTTTGTTGAGGTGCTCGGGCTTCTCATTGGGGTGGCTTCTCTTGTTGCAGAGCACGGGCTCTAGGCGTGCGGGCTTCAGTAGTTGCGGTGCACGGGCCCTAGAGTGCAGGCTCAGTAGTTGTGGCGCACAGGCTTAGTTGCTCCGCAGCATGTGGGATCTTCCAGGACCAGGGCTCGAACCCGTGTCCCCTGCACTGACAGGTGGATTCTTAACCACTGCGCCACCAGGGAAGTCCTCTCAGGATAGTCTTAAACACCCACATTAGTTATCAACTTCAGTAAATATAACATGGATACAATAATTTTACCTAATTGGCTGCCAGTTTCTCCAGTATAGAGGTGCTATTTTTCTCTTGCAACTAATCAGCAATCTGTGGGGAGCCACTTTAAGGCCAAGCAAATATTCTACTCCTTGCCAAAACTTCTTCCTAAGGTTTAACATCCATTGATAGTTCTTCATTCAATCTTTCCCATGGTTACAAAATAAAACCTATCAATTTTCACCTTATGCTTATGGTTTGTGCTTTAAGAGGTCTTGGTTTTGTTCTGGATACAGATGTAAAAGGTCAAATTGTACGATGTTTATTGTAGTCCCTCAACTCCGGTGGAGATGAACCTCAAGGGGGAAAGAGAACAACTCAAATTGTAGTTAGAAGGAATTAACGAGGGCCATAGGTCTTAATTATATACTTGCCCACTCACAATAGTCTACATTTTCATTAGTTTACAGATTTACCTTTAAAGCAATTTATTTTCTGTATACGGTGACAAGAGATCCATATTTACTTTTCTCTGTAAAATGTAGGTTTGTCCAGCACCAACTTTTAAGTACTCTATCCTTTCCCCGATGATTTTGAAACCACTTTTATCATGTATCAGATTCCCATATGTACATGGGCTTGATTCTGAGCTCTTTATTCTGATCTTTTTGTCTGTTACTGCATCTATTATTTATTACTATGGATTATGGTGTGACAGTATCTGATGAAGTTCTTTGCTCTGCTTTTAAAATTGCCTTAGAAATTCATAATTTCCATATGAACTTATTCTAGAATCAATTTTTCTATCCCCCCCAAATCCTGTTGGAATATTAATCAGAACTGGCATTTTTATGACATCATACCATCTATGAGCAGTGTCTTTCTATTTAAGCCATCTGTTTAACAAAATGACATTAGTTTGCTGGGCTTTTGCCATTAGGCTAACTTCCTAAAAATCTAGTTAGAGCTGAACGACATTTTTTTTCTTTTTAGCATCACCGCGCAGCATGCAGGATCTTTGTTCCCTCGAACCCGTGCCCCCTGCAGTGGAAACACGGAGTCCTAACCACTGGATCACCAGAGAATTCCCTGAACATCTTAAAATCTGTTATACCATCTAGTTGTTAAGTCTAGTGCAGCAATTCTCAATTTTTTTGCCTCAGAGTCCCTTTACAGCAAGGGTTGGTAACCTACGGCCTGTAGGCCAAATGTAGCCCACCACCTACTTCTGTTAATGAACTTTTCCTGCAATGCAGTCTCATTCATTTGTTTACGTGTTGTCTCAGGCTATTGTGCAACACAACACTGACAGAACTGAATAGCTGTAAGAGAGATCATATGGCCTACAAAGCTTAAACTATTTACTATCTGGTCCTTTAGTAAAAGTTCACCAACTCCTATTTTACACCTAAAATTGAGACTCCCAAAGAACTTCTGTAATCTGCTAATGGCGGTGAATGTTTAGTTTTCCAAAACTCAATTTTTACTTGAAAGCGCATGTGTGATATTGCAACAAACACTCAGTTTTCCTTGAAATGACAAGTTCACCTGTGGGAGTATTGATGTGCTAGAAAATTTTTAAAAGATTTGTTACTTTAACAGTAAGCCTAAATAACATACTTTTAATGAAAAGTAACAACCCCCTCCCAATTTGAGAAGAGTGGCGTTGTTTCACATTTTTGCAAATCTCTTTACTGTCTGGCTTAAATGAAAATTGAGTCTCGGGACTTCCCTGGTGGTCCAGTGGTTAAGAATCTGCCTTCCAATGCAAGGGACTCGGGTTCGATCCCTGTTCGGGGAACTTAGATTCCACATGCTGTGGGGCAACTAAGCCCACGCACCGCAGCTAGAGAAGCCCGCATCCTGCAATGAAGATCCCGCATGCTGCAACTAAGACCCGAGGCAGCCAAATAAATAAATATTTTTAAAAAAGTAAAATCGAGTTGCATATCTGCTTTTGTATTCAGTGTGTTACAATATGTTTTCGTTAAAGCACATGAAGAAAATCTGGCCACTATGTAGTTGGAAAAGGGAGAACTATTTTAACGGCTTTTCAGGTAACCGTGTATGCTCTTGACACTATACCCAATCCTGACAAATGGTAACTTCTTAAAGTTAGTTGCATTGTGGAATCTAATACTGAATCAGTGATCTTTTCATACTAGTACGTTAAAACCCACTCATCATTTAGAAAATACTGCTTGACTCCGCTACGATCTTCCAAATGTCAACACACTTCATTCTACAGTATTAAAAAGTCACATTCATTATTACCACCTCTGATCTCTTCACTGCGAAGCCGTCAAGCTAATGGTGGCAACATCAGTTTCCCCAAACTCTTATCACCTCCAACAAATGCTGTCAGTTGTTTTCCTTAAAGTGACAGGGTTATTTTGAGAAAACCTGACCACAAACGCACGTTTGCATAACCAGTTTGTCTGTTGTTCTTTCAAGTCAAAATGGTATTCCAAGAAAAACGATGGCCAGTTCAGTTTGCAACTCAATAATCGCACGAGTGTTTTTCCGTGAGGCAACTATGGTACTTCACAGCACGCAGATGTGTTTCATGGAGCACGTTTTAACCTTGTCACACGAACTATTCAAAACATGTGTACTCAAGGGTTGGATTTAGTAAGATTAATCATTTTACTGCTTGTCAGGGACATTCTTAAGTAAAATTCACTTTTTAAAAGAAATTGTGAGTTTCTATGTTTGCTTTCGGTAGATAAACTATCGAGTTAGGAAAATCCCGATTATTCTTAGATTTACAAGAGATATTTAAAAGCATAAATATGCATTGAACTTTATCAAACGTGCAAAACTCCAACTAATTCTATACCTGACAGTCCAGTGGATCAAATCAGCAATGAGACTTTACTCAGGTTTTGTCCCCACTTTTTGATCTGCCATTATCAGATTGTGAACCGAACAAAGCCTGGATTGGAACAGAAAAGACTGGCTTTTTAAAAGAGAGCAAGTTAAAAAAGAAAAACAAAAGTGAGCAAGTTGACCAGAGGATAAATATCTACTTCACCTATGTCTTTGCACAGTATAAAATAAGGTCCAGTGAATGGGATTCTGGAAATTTGAGATCATTCTGGACAACTGATTTACCATCAGAAAATGTCTTCAGCACAGGTTTGTAACAAATTCACTTGCCCAGAAAATGCAACCCTGTAACTGCAGTCTGACCAAACGGATTCATTCAAATCAAACAACCAAAAACACAAAAATAAAAAACAGATTAAGTATACATTTCCCTCATACATCAAAATTTTCAGAAAAGAATGATCATGAATAAAAGTTTAGTTAAAAATGTCATAAACAGTTTGAAAAGAATCAACTGCATACACTGTTGAAAGTTATTTCATATTTTATTTCTAATTGCAATAGTTTGTATCTGATTACATAATTCCAAATGATGGGAAAGGAAACCTCCAAATCAGTACCAATTAGCTGTCATGAATCTATGGTAAAAGGACTCATTAAAGACTTCAGAATGAAAGATGACCAGAGCTACCAATATTACTAATTATAAGCTTTCTCTAAAGAAATATAGAGCAAGTTGGTACTTTGCAAAATACCTTTCTTTAAGCAATTTAGAGACTTCCATCTGTTAGTCTTAGGCTGAATTAAATGAGGGTGGTAGCAATTATTTTAAATATTGTGTCGACATGAATATACAAATATATATTCTACACACTTCTTTTGTTATAGGAACCAAAGACTGCAAGTAAAAGAAATGGTAAATAGAGAATAAAAAAGACGTGCATATTCTCTCTTACACAGTCCTGGATATCAAGTGAATAGTGGCGGACACTGCTCTAAGTGGATCACACATACGAACACGCATTATTAATCCTCCCAACATTTCTGTGATTCTGCAGGTACTCTTCTCATCATCTCCATCTTACAGGTGAGGAGCCTGAAGCTCAGACAAGCTGGAGAAGGTGCCCGTGGTCACCTGCAGGTAAAGGGCAGAGTGGGGGTTGTGGCACAGGCTGCCTGACCTCAGAGGCCATGTTCTTCACTCTCTACCACATGCCTCCTAAGCACTAGGCGGCTGTGGGAGGAAGAGAAGACACAGTCCAACACACCCTCCGAATTCATCGGTTCACTCCATACCTGAGAGGCTAGTGTCTTATCACACTTATAGTAAGACTTAATTCAGATTTTGTTCTTTTCTAAAATAGGAAGAAAAAAGCAATGATGGTAGTTGAAGGTAAATAAAAAACACAAAGTGGTATGTAAAAGCTGTATAAATGAAACTTCCCCTTACTAAGCAGGACAGAGATCTAAACATCTCACACCAATACAAATCTTTTTAATCTTTATGACAGGTAACATAAAGAACTTACTTTCATTTCACTGCCAAGCCATAGTTAATACTGGATGTTGTTAAATCTGTACACAATACAAATAAAGTATAAATCCAGCTAGGTATTTTATTTGAAACATGCTTTTACCTATTAGATTACTCACTTGCTCTGAAGTCAATACTGACAGCAGTTTGTATCTATTCAAGATGTTATGCAATGTCTTATAATTTAATATTTACACAAGATAGATGAGAGTAAGTTAAACTACAAGTCACCAGGAGTTCTGTAAGCAACTATACTTATAGCCATGATTCCACAGATGTGGTGAGTAAACCAATGGCCACTCCTTAATAAAATACAAGAATTTTCATCATGCATAGTTTACAGGCTCCTTAAGAGGTGGTCTCTTTTGAGAGGCGGGATTTTCAAGAAAGATTCAACAGTCAAACAATTAAATCTTGGCAAGTCTTTTTTTACACAAACACTTGGTTTGGTTATTTAGCCACCTTAGTAATACAACTTATTTATATACTCTAATTGGAGGTGGAATAAACACTGCATGAAAAATGCATGCCTATCGAACTCATTAGTAATAACTATTACATTCTCTTAGCAGTAAGAATCATTATTCTTGGATTTCAAAGACTTTATTTTCTTTCAGGGCATACTTTCTAGCATTGTATTATAGGAATCAAACAGTATAACAACAAAAAAGGTTTTTTTTCTTGAGGACCACTTCCATTCCACCTTTGAAATATAATCAAATCAATGAAACTAATTTCCACACTAAAGACAAGTTAGTAAAATAATTCCTCCAAGTAGTGTTGCATATGAAATACAAGTTTACCCCAACTATTTTAATCATTATAATTTGAGATTTTCTAGGGTACAACAGCACTAGATTGGACTGTTACTACGTAGACAAGAAAAAAAATGTCACCTGCAAACACGTGAATTGGGGTAAGAATCTTTAGACAAACCATATTATTAGAGGAGGTTAAGTAGAAAAACTAATGTTTGAGTTGCACCACCCGTACCATGAACTGTAGCACAGATGCAGAGTCAAAACATTCTTGGTAAAACAATGTGGAGGAAAGATCTGCATATACCACAAATTTACCAGAACACTTTTATGTACAGAAGCCTAAGTATCTTAAGAGGTTTAGATTACCGACGAAGATGATCACTCAGTCAACTCTTCAAGGCTGGTTCCTTATGAGTACTAAAAACCAGTCCATGGTCTCAGACACATTCCACCTAGGTTAAGTGTTCAGGGACTCCATAGAGTAAGAAACATCAACTGCAATTGTCCACTCTTAGTTTCTGGTTTTTGATTTAATATTTTATAGTACCTCAGATTTTTATTCCAGAGTTTGCACACTTAGGAAAGGAAATTATACTAAGCATGGGATCAAAGATGTGCTTACTAAAAAAAAAAAAAAAAAAAGATGTGCTTATTTTCTGAAGCCATGTGAAGGTTTAATCCTCTGTGTATTACTTTTCAACACTGAAGAGTTCTCTGGAGACCAGTAGAATAAAAGTTTCACAAGCTACATGAAGGATTTCTTTTACAGTTGCATACCACTTCAATGTGGCTAGTTAGGTCTAACTAGCCCTGCCCTTAATTTCATCTTACTAGGGTTGATGATGAAAAACTAACAAAGGGTAAATCTAAATTCCCAATAAAATACAAGCAAAAAACACCTGTACACACAATAAAATACATCCTAAACGCAAAGTAAGGGTATAATATACTCTGCAGCATGATACTGTCTTTATTATATTTCTCCACTGTATGTAGTTCTTCCATTCAGAAATAAGAGACCATCTTTTCATTAAGTTGTTATTCCCTCCTCTTTCCCCAGCTTAGGGATACTTTCCCAAAGGCTTAATTTGTACAAACTGTTATGAAATTAAATTTTCATTTACACATAGTTTAAGTGTTTATAAAGCACTCAAAATTGTAGCTCACACGTATATGACTTCTGAAAATAAAACGACACTTTGAACATAATCCTTTTGTTCTGCAAAAATATTCTACATACATGCATGTGTTCAAAACAATCTTTTGTTGTTTGGGAATTTTCTATGCACAGTAAGTTAAAAAAAAAAAAGTTGACAACTATATCAGTATCTCCAATGTTAAGATAACTGGGTGCCACCTAGTGTTTGATTTCTGCAACTACCAACTTTACAAATTCAAAACTGCTATTAAAACTCAGGTTCTAAAAACCGCCTTTTTTGTTGATGTTTATAGTGGCAAAATAAGATCATGAAAAGAATGTATACAATATCAAAATCAGTATAAAAATAGCCACATGCTACTTAAATATGAAAAACAGACCAATCATTTTTCACTTTAAATGCAGATTTCTGCCTCCATTAAACTGTACCAAAATCTCAAGGGAAAATTCATGTAAGTAACTGGAATATACAAAAATTCATTGTACAGTAAACAGGCTAGTCAAAACTAGGGCTTAATTATGATTCATAATGCGTGTACGGGGCTTCCCTGGTGGCGCAGTGGTTGAGAGTCCGCCTACCGATGCAGGGGACACGGGTTCGTGTCCCGGTCCGGGAAGATCCCACATGCCGCGGAGCGGCTAGGCCCGTGAGCCATGGCCGCTGAGCCTGCGCTCCGCAACGGGAGAGGCTCACAGCAGTGAGAGGCCCGCGTACCACAAAAAAAAAAAAAAAAAAAAAAAAAAGTACATAATGCGTGTACGGCAAATGGTTTTACTCAAAACATCCATTTACTTACTGGAAGTGGTCAAAGTGGGAAAGGCAGTTAACGCATTTTTTTTCTTTTAGAAGAGCAGATGTGGTCTTTTACCCACAAGCTCCGTCACATCAAAAGAACAAAGTGGGTTTAACATTTAAGAGAATTCAGCATTACTAGTTTTTAAAGAAATACCTTAGAAACAAATCAGTCTGCTTTAACAAACTGCACTCATGCTAATGAAATTTTAATCTTCTTTAATGGGTCACAGCCCAAATCCAAATTGTTGAATAATCCTCAAAGAAAGTGGAATGTGAAAGGTTGAGTTCGACTTAGATCTGGAAGGAAAAAGAACATCAGATCAACCAAAAGAAGAATTTTTATATTCCAACAGTCTACCACATGTAAGGGACACATGCACCCCCTTTGGCTATCTGGGAAACAAATCCAGTTTGAAGAGGAAATTCTGAACACTAGGTTTTTCTCAATTCTGGTCTGCTGTCATTGAATCTTTACAGCAGCCTTCAGAATGCTATACGTTATGCAGAATATTCTCAATAAAGTTTACTATTTTACTATCTCCTTCCTTTTGTGCTACTAATTAGAAATTTATTTTGGGGGTAGGAACAGACACAGGGAGTGTTACTTCCTTGAGAAACGGAAAAGTGAGATACCAAATTCTCCTCCCAGTCAACCTGGTTATAGGAGTGAAGGCTAGAACACACAGAAACCATTTGGAGAAACACCTTAGGGAAGAAGTCGGGTTCTCAGGTGACAGACAAAGCGACCCTTACGAAATGGCCAAGATAACTCAAATTCCTTTAATAACCACTACCTTTACTATCCCTTACTGCCAGCCTCAGTTCTGAAGAAGCATTGGCACAAACTGAGAAATACTTTTCTTAGAAAAGCTTAACCCTATCTAGATCCTCACCCTATCACCTCTGTGTATGTGGCTTCATATTGAGGTATGTACTCTGACTAGGTTCTTTATTTCCTAAAAAAGGTCTTCTACCCCAGCTAAGCTGTCAAAATGTTGGGATCGCTCCTTAACCTATAACACAGTAGTAGCTCCATGTCAGGTTCTTGTCACAGAGTATCATCGATATATCTACTGTCCAAGTGTCATTCACAGCTTAGTCACAAGAATCCTCTGGCTCAGGGGTTTCCAAAGGGAGATAACATAAAAAATAGAATGATATGGTTCATAAGAACCTAGGGGCAGGACAGGAATAAAGACGCAGATGTAGAGAACGGACTTGAGGACACGGGGAGGGGGAAGGGTAAGCTGGGACGAAGTGAGAGAGTGGTATGCACATATATACACTACCAAATGTAAAATCGGTAGCTAGTAGGAAGCAGCCACATAGCACAGGGAGATCAAGATCAGCTCGGTGCTTTGTGACCACCTAGAGGGGTGGGATAGGGAGGGTGGGAGGGAGGCGCAGGAGGGAGGAGATATGGGGATGTATGTATATGTATAGCTGATTCACTTTGTTATACAGAAGAAACACACCACTGTAAAGCAATTATATTCCAATAAAGATGTTAAAAAAAATAGAATGATGGATTTATTTCTTATCCCTTTTCATTTTTCTATTTTAGGGTATGCTCTGAAATACAGTATTGTATGTTTAAAAATTCATAAATGCAAATACACACTGGAGATATGTACTCAAATTTTCTTTAATTCATCATGTATTCTAAAATGGTTTGGAGATGCATCAAAATGTAAGATGGACTGAAGGATGAATAAAGGTATAGGCAGATATGTGATAAACCAAGTACAGAGATGTTAATTATAGAATCTCAGTGGTAGGTATCACTTAATTCAGACTTCCCCGAGACCAGCCTTTGTTTTTTTGGGGTTTTTTGGCCGCGCCGTGTGGCTTGTGGGATCTTAGTTCCCTGACCAGGGATCGAACCCAGGCCCTTGGCAGTAAAAACACAGAGTCCTAACCACTGGACCGCCAGGTAATTCCCAGCCTTTGTATTTCTGAAAAGCTCCGGTAATTCTGTTGCACAAACAATCCCGGTCAGGAGCAACTACTCTAGGTATACTAAAATTTCACCTTTGAATAAAATCAAACATTACTACTATTATTTTTAGATTTATATACACAGGTGTTCCTGAACTACATTTTTATTTAAAAGGGTTTAAAGAGCCCAACCCAGATTTAAGACTAACTTATAATACCACCCCAGTTATTAAATAGATTTATATTGCCAGAAACTAAGTTTGAATTTCATTGAAATATTTTAACAGCAGAAGGGCAATGAGGCACTTATTCTTGTGAGCATTACTGCTTTATAGTGAGAAAAAAACAACGCATTTGCCTCAAAATTAACACACCAACTCCAAACCAAGAGTTTGCCAATAGTGCATATCCAACAGATAAAATAACTGGCAAAAGGCCTCAATTTTAAGAGGGCGCTTTATTTTTTTGGTGGCTGCGCAGCACAGCTTGTGGGATCTTATTTCCCTGACCAGGAATTGAACCCAGGCCACCACAGTAAAAGCGCCGAGTTCTAACCACTGGACCATCAGGGAATTCCCTTTAACAGGGCTTTTAATATTATGCTGTAATTCCAACACTTCATATGAAACTGGTTCAAACAAGATTATTCTTCTAACATACTAGTGTTTCAATTAAGAGAAGGCACGTTTGTATAACACAGGGAATATAGCCAATCATAGTAACTATAAATAGAGTATAACCTTTAAGAATTGTGAATCACTGTGAACTTCCATGGTGGTCCAGTGGTAAAATTCCATGCTCCAAATGCAGGGGGCCCGGGTTCGACCCCTGGTCGGGGAACTAGATCCCAGATGCATGCCACAACTAAGAAGTCCGCATGTCACAACTAAAAAAAAAAAATCCCACATGCTTCAACTAAAGATCCCGTGGGCCACAACTAAGACCTGGCACAGCCAAAATAAAATAAATAAATAAATATTAAAAAAAAAAAATTGTGAATCACCTTACAGTACACTTGTAACTTATATAATATTGTACAACTATATCTCAATAAAAAAGGCCTGTTTCTTTGATAAAATCTTGTATTTCTCATAACTGTCTGCTAAATTTCTTAATAGCTATCTCTCTAGACACCCTTAACTTAAACAAGTTGAGATTCCAATGCCTAGCATTCATATTGCCAAAGCAAATATTGACCTTTTTAGGAAGAAATACTGAAAAAGATGATAAAATTCTCAAAGCATAAACAGTTTGACTAGCACAAACAAAAGTTGAAAAACTCAAGGTGAAAAATGCTACTTACATCATCAATGTCTTCATCATCATCTCCAATGTCATCAAACTGGATTTCATCATCATCTCCAGGACCAAATGTATCAGTTTCATTGATTTTAGCTAAAGAAACAATAACAAATATACTCATATAATATAACCAAGATGTTAGTAAAATGAATAAATTGCCCACTAAAAGAAGTGGTTGGATATCAAATGTTGCAGTATAAAAGGAGACTCTTACAAGTCAAACTTTTAAGTTTCATTACCAAAAAGACCCTCTTAACTTCTACCTAACAACCCTAGTATATAGAACAGTATTTTACACAACAAAATCTCTAAGTCAAAATGCAAACAAGTTTCTTTTGCTCACAAAGGTATTTTTAGTGAGGCAGGCTCTAATTACACAAATTCTAAAGCTATTACAACTTCCAGCTACACTTCAAAAAACGTCTGAGCACACGCTAACAAGCCACAAATCATCAGATAAACTCATCAATCAGAAAAATTTGGTCAAATCGTGCTTATCCCTAAATAACAGAAATGAACCAGGAAGTGCTAGTCCTATTCCCAGATATATTAGCATTTCCTAGATTGGAAATGCCAAGTAAATAATTTCAGCAGGGTTTTCATGCTCAAGTAAAATTATAGTTTCCTTGATAATATGCAACAGAACCAAAAAATAACTTCCAAGCAAAAAATGTAGGCTTACAAAATAGTATGTAAAGTCACTTCCCCTTTGATGAGGTCATGAGAAACTTATTTTTATTTAAGTTTTATGCGTTAAGAACGCCTAACTTTTGTACTGCAGGGGAGAAACAAAAAACGTTGATTTAACAAAATCCTATGGATACTATGACACTAGGATAAGATGAACTGAAAACTGACTTTTTAATAAAAATCGACAACAGTACCTAATTGCTATCCTTGCTTCACATTTAAAGATGAATAATGACAGTCTCTTTAGAAAGGAACTTTCAAATAAATACTATAATCAATTTATTCCGTTGACTGGCATTACGCAGAAGTTTAGGGCTTATAAAGGATAATTCCTCACCAAAAGTATATTTATTAGGAACAGAATCCCAGTTACTTTTTTCTTAAGGTGTCTAGTATTATGAAGTACAGGCAGGCATACTTGGAATGAATCACGTAAACTCAAAACTAAACATGCAAAATCCACAAAATTCTACCAAAATTCCTTCATCTAAATACCACCAGGTAATAACACCATATAACAGGTTAATGTAATATCTCAGACATTACCATGTTCTGGAAGTTCGCCATATGCCTTCAGACTTCTAGCCTCATCTGCATTGTACTTTAAAATTACATCAGCTTTATTATCCTTAAAAAAAGACAAATAAGATTTACAAATGATTATGCCAAAATATTATCCGTTATTTCATAAATTAGTTTCAAACTGGATAGAAAATTAAATTTTACTGTTGTGTTATAAACTCCTGTCCTTTTTCTAAAAATTTAAAGTTTTCTCCTACCCTCTGAAAAACATCCTTGGGTTTAACCCAGTATAAAGAAGCTTGCATGCATAAATGAATAATGATCAACAAGCTTAGGGAAGACAGTTATAGATTTCACTTCAATGCAGAACTGTACAGACCCAATCTTTTGGATTATTTATAGTTACCCTTTGATTAGAAGTCTTTTGAAGTACAAAAATTCCCTGGGACCATAATTTACAGGTGATTAAATACTCTAATTCAAAAATTGAGAGCGGTATAATGACCCAAGGAAATTATTATACCTTTCCACGTATCAGTGGTTCTTAGGGTACAAATCCATCAGAATCTCCTATGGAGCTTTTACACCTCCTAAAGACAGATAAATTAGGAGATGTGAAGCCCATGAGTGTGTATTTGTAAAAGATATGGGTATTTCTGATGCAAGTGTCCCACTGAAAACTAATGCTTCAGAATGTTCACACTTCCCCATCCGAAAGGAATCTGACTCAGTTAAGGAAGAAAAAAAGGGTTGAAGCTGATTGTTTCAACTTCAAAAATTCTCAAAGGCAACGTAAGTGATCACTATGATCCAAGAATCGTGTGATTCACACCAGCACTTCTTAAAACGGTAATGTGTACAGAAGCCCAAGTGGATTCTAGTTAAAACGCACATTCTGATTTAGGAGGCCTGGGGTGAGGTCCAAGAATCTGCGTTTCTAACAAGTTGCCAAAAGCTAGTGATGCTACTGGTCCCTGTACCACCCTTTAAGTGGCAGGGACATAAAAGAAGGATCATGGGAGATTACGAATTGGAAAACTTAATGTGGCTGTCATTTTATAGTATGAATGTTACACCTTTCAGAACCTTGATTTCCTTATCTGTCAAACAGGGAACTAACTAATTGCTCCTACTTCTGGGGTTATCTTTAGGATCAAAAGAAGAAAATGGACATTAAAATGGTACGAGTTTCAAGCAGGCTATCTCAACCTCAGCACAGTTGATATATTGGACCACATAATTCATTGTTGTAGGGACCGTCCTGTGCATTGTAGGATGTTTAGCATCACCCCGGTCTCTATCAACTAGATGACCAGCACTGACCCCTACCCCCAGGTGTGAAAACCTGAAATGTCTCCAGACACTGCCAAATGTACTCTGGAGGAAAATAATCACCCACGGTTGAGAACCACTGATTTAAGGTAAAGATTTTAATTCTTTATTCTAGAACATATATTTAAAAAAATCAAAGTACGATCAAAGTTATAAAAATAGAAACAAGATCACTCAAAATGTAAATACATGGTGATGAGTTCCAATAGGTGGAAACCAAATGGATTTCATAGCCCTAGCATGAGTAGAGTCTCCAGGTTGACATCATGAAGGACAACTACCATTTTCTTCCTAAGTGCTCATCTAAATTTAGAGCACATACTTTTATCATGGTTTGTACTGCAATTACTTGTGTGCCTGTCTTACCCTCTCCACTACCAGGCCATAAGCATTTTGTGAGATGACAGCTTGACTCATTCAGTTGTATCCCCTGGAGTAATGGTTTCCAGATTTTGATTTCAAGACGTGTAAGTTAAAAAAAAAAAAAAAAAAAAAAAAAAAAAAAAAAATGGAGGCAGGCAGTCCAACATAAAATTATTTTTATCTTGCCAACTAAGAACACCAACAAAACCACCACAATATAGTATCCCTCATTCCAAAAAAGGGAACTTTTTAAATATCAAAAAGGGAAAAAGGACTATTTAGCTTCATGAAAAATTCACACTGTCTGTGATTCTTCTATAGTGAAAATGCAGACTCCACAGACTGGCATTTGGGAACCATGATCCCTGGGGTACCTAGCACAATGCCTAAGACAGAACTGGCCCTTAAGAAATGTTTGTTGACACAACAGTGAATAGCATACTGGCCTGGAACTGGTCAAATATGGTTATGACTTATGTTCTAAACATTAATTGCTCATAAAATTCAAGCAAGTAAACAATGAAAATTTTATTTTTACCTGGTAATCCCGTAGACCAACCAATATAATGTCTGAGGTATTTATCCAGACCTATAAAAGTCACAGGAGGTTACATTTAAAATAAAAATAATCAATCAAGAGCAATGTTGAGTCAGTCTTCCCATAAAATACACATACTATTCACCCAACTGTGGGTAAAGTACCTGTATTTAGAATTAGGAAAAAAACTACAGTAAGCAGCTGAGCCACTTTCAAATTTTCTATAATTTTGGAGATTAGAAAAATAACAATCTTATTTAACTACTTGACAGTTTAATAATTCCAGAGGACCAATGATTAGTTCAGAAATTAAGGGATTCTTAATACTGAACCCCTCTAAGTGGTCAGTTATCCATTACAACATATGAGAATAGTAAATTAGGAATGTGGTTTTATCTCCCTCCCTCCCTCCCTCCCACGCACCCAAATACACACAGGAAACAGAACTCCTTTAGTTTGGTAACATGAGCATTAACGAGACAAATTTTTAAAAAATCATAAAGCCAGGGATGGCGCGACTTTCAACCAACCTGATCAATAAATCTGCCTGAACACCTACCCTGATGAGAAATTAATCACTACTTTCCAAGGCAGCCCATTCATGATCTCAGTTCAGGAAATTTAACAGTAATACAACACTTATTTACTGTAATTCATATTCAAATTTTCTTAACACTCCTTACAGCTATTTCCCCCACCCTCAAACCGGAACCCAAACAAGGGCCACCTACTGCATTTAACCATTGCATCTCTTTAATCTCCTTTACATTGAAATAGCCCGCCCTGCTGTTTTTTTTCCATTCGTGACATTAACATTATATATACTAGCAGTCAGGCCATTTGTTTTGCAGTGTGTCCCTCAATCTGGACTTGTTAATTGTTTCCTCATGATTTGATTCAGGTTAATCATTTTGGGGCAGGAATAAAACACAGGTGATATAAATGAGTCTTCAGACAGATACCTGTATAAAATTACCATCAAAGATCTTGCTGTTTTGACTTAGAGGTAAATCACTGTTCTACTGAAATCTTTTGGGAACTTAGAAAAATGAGGTCCTTGGCCCATAAAAACCTTAGAGCCATTTTTTCCCCTTAACCATAATTTTATATTAAAGTAAAACAAGTCTCCACACTTACCTTTTTTCTCAGTTTCCCTCTGATGTGACATAACCTCTTTACACCATCAAAACACATCGCTTCTAATCGTCCATTTCCCAACATTTTGATTACCTGAGCATACTCTGGAGGAGGGAAAAGTAAAGGGTATAGGATATTGCTGAATTTTTGATAAAAGCAACTTAAAAGTCCACATACAACTGATTAGAACATACAGGTGTGTTGGTTAGGAATAAGTATATGCAGTAAAATAAGTACAAGGGAGTGATAAAACACCAAGCTAGTTAACGGCAGAGCCAGAACCAAGACTGTGTAATGCCATTTCTATGACAAGCTGTCCCTGCTATCAGAAATATTTTAATTATCTACTCATTTTGAGTTAAGTGGACTGTCCACTGTCTTCATGACCGTATGCTCTACTTCTGGAGATCAAGGTGGCCTGGCCCAAAATGTACACTAAAATGTATCTCATCAATCTCTCACTTTGGATCCTCGCCCAATTTTCGTCTCCTTTCCCTCAGAGGGTTAGTCTTTAGAGGCTAACTGCAACACAATTTTTGGTACACTGGCAAATAAAAATCAGCTTATATGTTATTAATGTCTTTGTTAAATTAGAATATCTTAGTGATTATTCTGAAGTTTTTGTAAAGCTGGAAAGATGCCCCCAGACAAAAATGCCAAACTTTTAATCAAAAATCTTTCCAAAAGGGTACCCAGGAAGCCACCCTACTTCACTGCCACTTGAAAAACTGAGATGATGAGCAGTGGCTTGCACACGGGCCGTCTCTTCTGTCATTAAATGACAGAAGACCGGGGGGGGGGGGTCACTTCAGAACCTTTAGTTTACTCAAGTTGTATGCAAGACTGATTCCCAAAGAGGACATCCACCAATTTGTAAATACGCTGAAACAAAACTTTCAAAGGCTCGACTGTGGTATTGACAAGTGGAAGTGAGTTACTCAGACTACAGTGAACCTAGCACCCACCTAGGGCCTCAACACGGTTGGTCGATTTAAAGGCAGGCTCTCTTCCAAAGTGGGGGGAAAACGTGAAAAAGAAAAAGTAATGGCAGTCAAAATAAAGTCAACTGCTAAAGGAGGGCAAGAATCAAGGGTAAGAAATAAAAGGGTCTTTTAGCCAAATAACATGTTTCATCTTTAGTGGCTTATATATTCATGGCATGAACAAATCTACCAAGTTCTATAAAAAGATAATTAGAAAAAGTTCTTTGTTAAAAACTGCTGAAAATTACTGGGATAACTAGAAAAATTTAAATATGGACTATATATTAGATAAATAATATATTCACGAGTGTGATAATCCTACTGCAGTTACGTGAGAGAATATACTTGTTCTTAGGAGAAACATGATAAAGTAAGTAGTAAGGGAAAAGTATCATGATGTCTTCAACTAACTTCCAAATGGTTCAGGAAAAACACACACACGCACACAAAGATGAAGGGGTTAAAGGAATTCATGATACTTAGAGTGCAACTTTTCTGAAAGTTTGAAATTACTCAAAATAAAAACATGGGAAATGGGGATATATGTATACGTATAGCTGATTCACTTTGTTATATGGCAGAAACTAACACACCATTGTAAAGCAATTATACTCCAATAAAGATGTTAACCACCCCCCACCCCGAAAAAACCCCCAAAAACATAACTCTCAAAAACCAAAACCAAACAAAACATGGGAAACTACTGTTATGTATCTGGCACTTAACAAAAATCTTAATCAGTTTGAAAAGGTCAATTGTTCAGTTTCATTTTATTATGTTATGAAATTACATGTAATTTACATGCCTCAGATGCATTCCTCAAATACCCATGGTCTACTGAACATACTATGTAGCACCATTCGCTATCAAAAAAAGTCTACTAAGTCATGGAATTGTCAACCATAGCTTTTGAGGCTTAATTCCCTCTGAACTGCTCAATTCATTCTTAGTTGTAACATGAGTGTTCACATAAAACAGTGAAACATACACATTTACAGAAATGCCATCAATCCTCAGCGCATGCTGAGTATACCAAGAAATAACTACCAGAAGAAAGGCTCTGGAGAAGTGTGGGGGATGAGAAACGGAGAAGAGCAAAAGGGGACATGTGGTTTTTTGCTCAGGATTATGAACAGTATCTCTTTTATGTTGAGAAATTGAAAACCTTACTTAAGAAAGAAAACTATTACTGAAAGAAATCTAACTTATGAAAATGCTTACCTTGCCCATCTTCTTTGAACACCAGCTCTCTCTTTTCAGATTCATTCTCATTCTTACCTCTGCGTCTATTTTTACCTCCTTTACCTGATGGTTTTAAAGAAAAAGACATTAATTATCTGCAAAACAGAAAAAGAAACCAAACTAGGGCTTACAGAATGTTCTTTAAAAGCCACTTAAATTATAAGAAGTACAATCTAGTATGTGTAATATAAATAAGCTACACGAATATATTATACAGCACAGGGAATATCGTATTTTACAATAACTTTAAACAGAGTCTAATCTACAAAAATACTGAATCACTATGATGTACACCTGAAACTAATATAATGTTGTAAACCATACTTCAAACAAACAACAAAAACCTGAAAAAAATGAAAAATTAAAAAATTCACCTAATTTGGTCATGTATCTCCAATCATATTAAACATATACATGTCATCACTTCCCTACCCTTCCTGGAAATCCCTTTTGGGATACTGCTGACATAAAATACAAACAAACCAAAAGGAGATATCATAAACATCACGACTACTTGGTTGAATACACTGCTCAGTGAACTCCTCCTACAGTGGCCCACAAGGACCAAGGAGGGATATATAACGGATCATGATAAATTTTATAAAATGGGGTCTCTCTTGTACCTGCTCCCCCAAATGAAAGGTCTGTGTGCAAAAAGAAGATAATTGGGCCGGGGCGGGGGGTGGGTAAAGTTTTATCAACTGGAAAGGGACACTGATTTTGTGGCAGTAGAGGGAGAGCAACAAGTCTGGCAACCCTGAGAGCTTACATTTTGTCCTATAGCTGTAGGATACATCAAGCAAGTTAAAAAGCAAGGTACTTAGAAACAAAAGACAATGGAGACACGATGACCCAAAACCTATGGGATGCAGCAAAATAAGTTCTAAGAGGGAAGTTTATAGCAATACAATCCTACCTTAAGAAACAGGAAGCATCTCAAATAAACAACCTAACCTTGCACCTAAAGCAATTAGAGAAAGAGGAAGGAAAAAATCCCAAAATTAGCAGAAGGAAAAAAATCATAAAGATCAGATCAGAAATAAATGAAAAAGAAATGAAGGAAACGATAGCAAAGATCAATAAAACTAAAAGCTGATTCTTGGAGAAGATAAACAAAATTGACAAACCATTAGCCAGACTCATCAAGAAAAAAAGGGAGAAGACTCAAATCAATAGAATTAGAAATGAAAAAGGAGAAGTAACAACTGCCACTGCAGAAATATAAAAGATCATGAGAGATTACTACAAGCAACTCTATGCCAATAAAATGGACAACCTGGAAGAAATGGACAAATTCTTAGGAATGCACAACCTGCCAAGACTAAATCAGGAAGAAATAGAAAATATGAACAGACCAATCACAAGCACTGAAATTGAAACTGTGATTAAAAATCTTCCAACAAACAAAAACCCAGGACCAGATGGCTTCACAGGCGAATTCTATCAAACATTTAGAGAAGAGCTAACACCTATCCTTCTCAAACTCTTCCAAAATACAGCAGATGGAGGAACGCTCCCAAACTCATTCTACGAGGTCACCATCACCCTGATACCAAAACCAGACAAAGATGTCACAAAGAAAGAAAACTACAGGCCAATATCACTGATGAACATAGATGCAAAAATCTTCAACAAAACACTAGCAAACAGAATCCAAGAGCACATTAAAAGGATCATACACCATGATCCAGTGGGGTTTATCCCAGGAATGCAAGGATTCTTCAATATATGCAAATCAATCAACATGATACACCATATTAACAAACTGAAGGAGAAAAACCATATGATCATCTCAATAGATGCAGAGAAAGCTTTCGACAAAATTCAACACCCATTTATGATAAAAACCCTGCAGAAAGTAGGCACAGAGGGAACTTTCCTCAACATAATAAAGGCCATATATGACAAACCCACAGCCAACATCGTCCTCAATGGTGAAAAACTGAAAGCATTTCCACGAAGATCAGGAACAAGAACAAGGTTGCCCAGTCTCACCACTCTTATTCAACATAGTTTTGGAAGTTTTAGCCACAGCAATCAGAGAAGAAAAGGAAATAAAAGGAATCCAAATCGGAAAAGAAGAAGTAAAGCTGTCACTCTTTGCAGATGACATGATACTATACATAGAGAATCCTAAAGATGCCACCAGAAAACTACTAGAGCTAATCAATGAATTTGGTAAAGTAGCAGGATACAAAATTAATGCACAGAAATCTCTGGCATTCCTATACACTAAGGATGAAAAATCTGAAAGTGAAATCAAGAAAACACTCCCATTTACCATTGCAACAAAAAGAATAAAATGTCTAGGAATAAACCTACCTAAGGAGACAAAAGACCTGTATGCAGAAAATTATAAGACACTGATGAAAGAAATTAAAGATGATACAAATAGATGGAGAGATATACCATGTTCTTGGATTGGAAGAATCAACATTGTGAAAATGACGCTACTACCCAAAGCATTCTACAGATTCAATGCAATCCCTATCCAACTACCACTGGCATTTTTCACAGAACTAGAACAAAGAATTTCACAATTTGTATGGGAACACAAAAGACCCCGAATAGCCAAAGCAATCTGGAGAAAGAAAAACGGAGCTGGAGGAATCAGGCTCCCTGACTTCAGACTATATTACAAAGCTACAGTAATCAAGACAGTATGGTACTGGCAGAAAAACAGAAATATAGATCAATGGAACAGGATAGAAAGCCCAGAGATAAACCCATGCATGTACGGTCACCTTATCTTTGATAAAGGAGGCAAGAATATACAGTGGAGAAAAGACAGCCTCTTCAATAAGTGGTGCTGGGAAAACTGGACGGGTACATGTAAAAGTATGAAATTAGATCACTCCCTAACACCATACACAAAAAGAAACTCAAAATGGATTAAAGATCTAAATGTAAGGCCAGACACTATCAAACTCTTAGAGGAAAACATAGGCAGAACACTCTATGACATAAATCACAGCAAGATCCTTTTTGACCCACCTTCTAGAGAAATGGAAATAAAAACAAAAATAAACACATGGGACCTAATGAAACTTCAAAGCTTTTGCACAGCAAAGGAAACCATAAACAAGACCAAAAGACAACCCTCAGAGTGGGATAAAATATTTGCAACTGAAGCAACTGACAAAGGATTAATCTCCAAAATTTACAAGCAGCTCATGCAGCTCAATAACAAAAAAACAAACAACCCAATCCAAAAATGGGCAGAAGACCTAAACAGACATTTCTGCAAAGAAGATATACAGAATGCCAACAAACACATGAAAGGCTGCTCAACATCATTAATCATTAGAGAAATGCAAATCAAAACTACAGTGAGGTATCACCTCACACCTGTCAGAATGGCCATCATGAAAAAAATCTATAAACAATAAATGCTGGAGAGGGTGTGAAGAAAAGGGAACACTCTTGCACTGCTGGTGGGAATGTGAATTGGTACAGCCACTATGGAGAAGAGTATGGAGGTTCCTTAAGAAACTAGAAATAGAACTACCATACAACCCAGCAATCCCACTACTGGGCATATACCCTGAGAAAACCATAATTCAAAGAGTCATGTACCAAAATGTTCATTGCAGCTCTATTTACAATAGCCAGGAGATGGAAGCAACCTAAGTGTTCATCATCGGATGAACAGATAAAGATGTGGCACATATATACAATGGAATATCACTCAGCCATAAAAAGGAATGAAACTGAGTTATTTGTAGTGAGGTGGATGGACCTAGAGACTGTCATACAGAGTGAAGTAAGTCAGAAAGAGAAAAACAAATACCGTATGCTAACACATATACATGGAGTCTAAGAAAAAAAAAAAGGTCACGAGGAACCTAGGGGTAAGACGGGAAAAACGACACATACCTACTAAAGAATGGACTTGAGGATATGGGGAGGGGGACGGGTAATCTGTGACAAAGTGAGAGAGTGGCATGGACATATACACACTACCAAATGTAAAATAGATAGTGGGAAGCAGCCGCATAGCACAGGGAGATCAGCTAGGTGGTTTGTGACCACCTAGAGGGGTGGGATAGGGAGGGTGGCAGGGAGGGAGACGCAGGAGGGAAGAGATATGGGAACATATGTATATGTATAACTGATTCACTTTGTTATAAAGCAGAAACTAGCACACCATTGTAAAGCAATTATACTCCAATAAAGATGTTAAAAAAAAAAAAAAAAGCAAGGTAGTAACTGCCTGATCTTGGAAGTAACCAAGATGTCCTTCAGTAGGTGAAAGCATAAACTGTGGTACTTGCATAGAATGGAATACTATTCAGCAATAAAAGGAAATGAGCTATCAACCCCCCCAAAGACATGGAGAAACCTTAAATGTATATTACTAAGGGAAGGAAGCCAATCTGTAAAGGCTGAATAGTATGATTCCAACCATATAACATTTTTGAAAAGGCAAAACTATAGAGAGAGTAAAAAGATCAGTAGTTGCCAGATGGGGAGCGGGGAAGGAAGGACAGGTGAATAGGTGAACAACAGGATTTTTAACGCAGTATGGTACTGTAATGGTGGATACATGTCACTATATATTTGTCAAAAATCCATAAAACGTACAACACAAAGAATGAACCTTAATGTAAACTATGGACTATCTATAGTGGCTCATGTAAGATATTAATAATAGAGGAAACTGGGAGGGTGGGAGTTGGAACTCTGCAATTTCTGCTCATTTTTTTATCAACATAAAACTGCTCTAAAAGACAGTCTGGTAAAAAACAGTAAAAATCAAGGTACACTAGGGATGCAATCAGCAAAATCTAGCTGGGGGTTGGGGGATGACGGGGACGATGACAACATGGGGACGAATCCACAAGACAATCTGTTTTCTTCAACAGATACATTATGAAGAAAAAAACCCCCACAGATGGATGAAGAACCTACCAGTTAGAAAAGACTTAAAAGATATCAACCAATGACAATGTATAGCCCATATGTGGACCCTGATTTGGTGTGGACGGTGCAAGTTTAGCTGTGAATTAATGATGTCCGAGGCCAGGAGTTGAGTACATGGAGGCTCATTATACTAGTCTACT